CAGCTGTAGGCATCATCCTGGTATAACCATTCAAATCCAGTGATGTACAGTACATCGCTGGTCCTTGTTGGTTATATATGCTATGTTTTTTTTTTTTTTTTGTATGCAGCCTGTGGACTGAATGAAAAAATGAGAAGAAATCTCTGCCAGAAAAAGTGTGTGTGGTATGCCCACCATTAGAATATACCGTCCTGCATCCACCCCACTTCTAATGGTGGGCACACATTAGGTCACACTTTGCCACAAGTGCCAGTTCCAAGATTGAATAAAATGTCTAAATAGTGGCACGCTTCAATAAAAATTGTCCACGTATAAGTGGTACCCCATATGGGAGAAATGATAACACCAAGTCCCAAACTATCTTGCCACTGCTCCCCATGTAGTCTGGGCATCCGGGCGGGCTCACGTGGACTATCTTTTTCCCTCGCAAATCCGAAACTTATAAGTAAAGCCTGTTGTCCTCTCACAGGTATTCTACAGATTGACCCCATATCTGGCATGCTTGCTGGGGAGAAATTGTTTGAATGCAAGGCGGCCAGAAAAATTAATCAGGGACTCATCAATGCAGATGTTTTGCTGGGCAGTATAGACATCTGCAAATTTTAGGTTAAGGTGATTTGCGAGGGCTGAATTTTGTGGAGCGGGTCAAATTCAGGGTTACCCAGAGGATGACAGAGTGTATTGTCGCTGAAATGCATAAAACACATTATACTCTCATATCTATGCCTGGCCATGGCAGCAGAGAACACGGGCATATGATGAATCGGGTCTGCGGACCAATACAACCTCAATTCATTTCTTTTAGTAATGCCCATGTTGAGGGTTAGGCCCCAAAAAAATGTAAATTTGAAAACCGTAATGAGTTTCCATGCGAATGGCCTGGCAAAGTTTGAATTTGGGTTGGCGGCAATAAACTGTTGTGCATATAAACTGCTTTGATCCACAGTACAGATATTTCGTGAAAAACAGCTCCAAAAATCAAGGAGGTATGTGAAAGACCAAGATGTACTAGACCGCTGGTACTCGCCAGTTCACCAAAAGGTAGAGCAGCACTAGTACTGGCACTCTGCTGCATATGAGAGTCATCAAAATTTATCGGCAAGTGCTAACAGAGATCAGACCTGATTCTGCGAACACTGCGGTTTTGTGTGCAATGTATCACGTGACAGTGACCTACTGACACTGCACTTGCTGGGGGAGAAGGTAGGGTAAGCGTAGGCCCTAAACACAGGTGTTGGCAGGTGTCGGGGCTGATCCACACTAACGCTGCGTTTTTGGGGACACTATACTAATGTGAACGCTGGTATAGTGCTGATCTGATCAAAGATATTGACCCGTTCAGACACTATACTAGCAATGGAGGTTTATTGTACATGAGCGTGCTCCTGGCAATCAAGGGGTTAAATGTGATGACTGGTGTACTGACGGGGCAATCTGACGCTATCTGGGAGGGGCGTGAAAACCACGGGAGCGCGAATCACGTTTATATATATATATATATATATATATATATATATATATATATATGTGATTTTGCGTACCCATGCCGCCCTGTAGCAGTATTTTCTGCTGTAGGGTGGTCAGGAAGCGGTTACAGAAGAGGTTTGTGTTACGTTGCTGCGTTACTTTAACTGACAATTGCGCGGTCATGCAACACTGCATCCAAATATAAAATTTACATCCTTTTTTTGCCCACAAATTGAGCTTTCTTTTGGTGGTATTTGATCGCCTGTGCGTTTTTAATTTTTTGCGCTATAAAAAAAGGCTGACAATTTTGAGAAAAAAAAAAAACAATATTTTGGACTTTTTTGCTATAAAACATGTCCAGTAAAAAAAATTAAAAAAAATCAAATTTTGGCACAAATTTCATCCAAAATGCATTCTGCGACATGTCTTTGCAAAAAAAAATCCCAATACGTGTAAATTAATTGGTTTACATGAAAGTTATAGTGTTTCCAAATGGCGGGAAAGATACTGGGATTTTTAATTTTTATTTATACTAATAATGGTGGCAATCAGCGACATATTGCAGCGATCAGCAACATATGGCGGCGATCAGTGACTTATGGCAGGACTGCGGCGGACATTTTGACACTGGGGGGGAACTGACTTGGGGTCACTGACATCCCCAGTGACACCAATACAGTGATCAGTAAAAAAAAAAATCACTGACACTGTACTAATGGCATTGGGGAGGAAGGGGTTAACATTTTTAGAGTTTAGTGTGTGAGGGGAATGTTTTTACTAGGGGGTGGGAGGCTGATCGGGGGAGAAACTCTTCTCTCTCCCTCTTCAGCTTTCATGAGCTGTCAGAGAACTGACACAGACCAGGGCTGTGTGTAAACAATGCAGCCCTGCTCTGTGTCAGCAATCACCAGTCATCGCGGGAAAACGCCGGTAAAGACCGGCCGTGACCCGGCAGCGGAGACCCGCTGCTGACACCCGTGGGACAGTAGGGGGGGGCGAGCGCCTCGCGCGCGCCCCCTACCTGTTTTGCAAAACCACGTTTTAAAACGTGGTTTTGCCTGCCCGTGCCGCCCTGCCACCGTTTTTAATGCGGTGGCTGGGCGGCAAGTGGTTAAAAATGACTTGACCAGAATTGTGTGCCCAGAACTTATTTATTTATTTATTTATCGAGTTTATATAGCGCCAAAGGGTTTGCTCAGCGCTGTACAATAGAGGGGGGGACAATACATGAAACAGAACAGTAACATCAAACAGTACACAAGGGGTAAGAGGGCCCTACTCTTTCGAGCTTACAATCTAGGAGGGAGGGGGGTAGAGGCACAGGAGGAAACGGCTGTGGGGGATGGAGTGGTAGGAGGAGGGAAGGGCAGCGGCTGTTAGGTGAGGGTGGGGTAGGCTTCCCTGAAGAGGTGGGTTTTCAGGGAGTGCCTGAAGGTGAGGAGGGAAGGTGACAGTCTGATGGATTGGGGTAGTGAGTTCCAGAGGATGGGGGAGGACCTGGAGAAGTCTTGCAGTCGTGCGTGGGAGGAGGAGACCAGGGAGCAAGATAGAAGGAGGTCCTGTGAAGAGCGAAGGGTACGGGTAGGGTGGTACCTGGGAATCAGGTCGGTGAGGTAGTTAGGGGCAATGTTGTGAATGGCCTTATAGGTCAGGGTGAGCAATTTGAATTTAATGCGTTGGGCAATGGGGAGCCAGTGGAGGGAGAGGCAGAGGGGGTGGCAGAGGTGGAGCGGCTGGTGAGGTGGATGAGTCTGGCCGCTGAGTTCAGGATGGTCTGGAGCGGGGAGAGTTTGCACTGGGGTAGGCCGGTGAGGAGGGAGTTGCAGTAGTCAAGGCGTGAGATAATCAGGGAGTGTACGAGTAGTTTAGTGGTGTCTGGGGTAAGGAAGGAGCGTATCTTGGCGATGTTCCGGAGGTGGAGCCTGCATGTGTTTGTAAGTGATTTGATATGAGGTTGAAAGGAAAGGTTTGAGTCCAGAATGACGCCAAGGACCTTGGCTTGCTGGGCGGGATTGATGGTGGTGTTGTTGGTAGTGATGGAAAGGATGGGAGGGGGGGCACGGGCTGGGGGGAAGATGAGAAGCTCGGTTTTGGAGAGGTTGAGCTTGAGGAAATGGAGCAACATCCAGTCAGAGATGTCGTTTAGGAGGTGAGTGATGCGGGCGGAGAATGTGGGGGTGAGGTGAGGGGTGGATAGGTAGATTTGAGTATCATCAGCGTAGAGGTGGTAATTGAAGCCGTGGGAGTGTATGAGTTTGCCAAGGGAGGAGGTGTAGATGGAGAAGAGAAGGGGTCCATGGACAGAGCCCTGGGGGACCCCAACAGAGAGGGGGAGGGAAGAGGAGGTGGCATCATTGTAGGAAACGCGTTGGGATAGATTGGACGAGAACCAAGAGAGAGCGGTGTCTCTGATGCCAAGGGAACTTGTCCAGAAGTGTGACTTGTCAAAGCTGGTTAAGTTCTGACCCCACCAAAGTGGGGTCAGAACTTAACCAGAGGACTTCAATAAATACGTCACAACACTTTTCTGGCCCTTTAAAATAGCCTCTGCGTAATTCATGAATATCTTATGTGGACTCATTCACAAAATACAAAGGCTTCTGCAAATAAATAGCAGAGGGGAGGGGTGGCCAAAGCTGCTGATTTACATGCATTCCACGTGTTGTGTATAGATACGTTTGTCACCCAAAAAAAGCTCCTGCTCATTTTTGGGTCACAGGTTTAGCGCAATTTTTAAACGCACTTTTCCACAATTGCCATATGATTCTGACACATGATAATCAGAGTGGAATTGCACTGTTTTTGGGATGCCAAGAAGAATAATGCCATCCAAACCTACATTGCACATTGTCGAAATGTGGAATCGCAGACAGAATTGTGGCAATTCAGCCTGTAATTCCAAATCACCTAATGTGAATGAGGCCTCAAAGTCCTGGAATGGAGTGATAGCTATCCTCCCAGAGCTCCATAAAACTGTGAGATGTAAATAAAAAAGATAAGCGCTGGCATGCATCTCACTGGACTTAACCCATAGTAAGCCTGCACATTTTAGTGCACATTCTAATTAAAGAATATGTTACCCCAGTATTTCATATTCATGATATGTGCCTGTTGTGCCATGTACTTATGTTAAAGGTATTCTGTTCTCTTTGCATTGCTTCCTTATGCAGCTGACAACAGAGATTATGTGACATCAATATTTATTTTTTATAGCTGTACACAATTGTTTAGCTTTTAATTCTATTTTAAGGGTTCACATATACTTTAATCACGAGACAGTGCTGGGCCAATACATGAAGTCCATAGGCCTGTGTAAACTACAACCCTAATGATTTATAGCTTACACTGGATTTTCCTTTCACTCTTGGCAGCTGAGTGGAGATGTGCAAAGACAGTGCACAGGTTCATTTTACGTCACCAGATAACCCAACTATGGTACATCTTGTCAAGCTGCTATTGCTTAGACTGAACCAAAACATCCAGTAAATCATAACCCTGTTAATTAATCTTGATACTACTTATCTAATACATACAGTCTGTGGGTAGGAAAGTGGTCTCAGACGGTCATAGTCCTCCTGTCCAGCTGTATCCCATAATCCTAGGTTCACAGGTTTACTGTCCACCATCACATTAGCCGAATAGTTATCAAATCTGAAAAATACATAGATTGTACAATGTTGTAATAACAATGATGTCCACAAAAAAAATTCTTACATTTTATACCTGTCATACTGTATGTTTAGGTTGTCCATGAAAACCTTCCAAAGAAAAAGAAATTCAGGGAAGGCCTTTCTTCTAGGCCCTGCCCTGGTCTATAAAAAAAGACAATCAGCTAACTGCTGCTGACAGTGTGATCCACTGAGGATCGGGGGTTAGCAGCTAGACCCATGTAAAAGTGACCTAAGAAGGCTCCTCGTTGTTTAAGAAAATTGAAATCGTCTCTCCTATTGTTTGTACAGTTTAAATGTAGCTGTGAATATAATGCAGACAGTATGCTGCCTCCAACAGCATAATCTACTCTTAGTTTTTGCTATTATTATGTGACACACGGGATGCAGGTTTAAAAAAAAAGATGTCACCAATCAGGTATTTCTAGGGCAGCATGATGTCTAACTATGGCCCTTACCACAAGCAGAGTTCTCCAGAGGAAACATTAAATACATGCCCACTAGGCCACTTTATTTGTGCCACCTGTAATCCCAGACCTCTTTGGTTACATCATTTTGTAATTTTTAGATTATATAAACATTTTCCATAAATGGCGAAATATTAATTTTAAGTACTGTCACCATGAACATGTACATAAAAAGCCATATGAAAAGTTGTTTGAATGGAAAAGAAAAAAAGGTAGCAGAGAGTATGTAAAACCCACTGGATCAAAATATGGATCAGGGTCACCAGTAGAAAGAATTTTTAAAATTCAAACATGGTGTTGCATATCTAGATAGAGTCTGGTGAGCTGGGTCATCTGTTGGTTTAATTAATTTTCTTTAGGACTCCAGCAATGGAATCTTCCTGTCATTGTCAGGGCTCTGTTCCTGCCCACCTTGGAGCTGTAAGTGTTTCCTCCCACCTTGGAGTAATTCCACTCTTCTATTTGATTTTCTTTGTTTTACAATATAAAATGAATAAAAACCCTAAGGCAAAGAATTTGCCCCCTCGTGCCTGCTGCAGAAGTGCATACCCAAGAAACCAACACAGAGATTTTGCTCTGAAATATTAAAAAAATAAGCCCCCAACTACGCTCTAAAATATAAACAGTGTGTTTTGCTTATGATGGAAAAACAAATATGCCCTCCACTCATAAAAAAGGAACTGTGCAGTTCCTCCAGTGTGGAGATTAAAACAAAGTACTGGTCATACAGTATCACAAGACACCAAAAGAAATACTACGAGGGTTCTTCAAAAAGTTTCCATACTTTTTTTAAGGTATTAATTTTATATATGTATGCAGAAACTTATTGAAAGCCCTTCGTACCTCCTGTGACAGAAATATTTTTCAGAACTTCAATTACTTTTAATATTTCAGCAAGACTTAAAAAAAAAAAAAAACAACCTTTTAACAAATTTGCTAGTTCTGGTCTGTTTTGAAGGTAATACATTAAAAATTGGTGTGTTGCCCTTGGTAATCAGATGCAGTTGTTATAAATCAAACAAATAACTAATATCCAATTACAGGATCACTAATGCAAACAACAAAAGAGAGTATACAATTTGGGTCTGCTTTGATTTGCATAAAAACATGAATAGGAAAACATAAAAATATTCCTTTATTAGACCAGAGAAATAATAAGATTGATAATAAAAGCACCTATTACCTACAGAATATGACTATACCACTACCAAGTTTAAAAACGGAGACTAACACAATGACAGAGCATTATCTTGTTTATCAATACCTGGATTAGTTTATCATCTCATTAGTGGTATACAGGTGTATTTATTACTGACTTTATTGTTTTTTTTTTTATTTTCTTATATTTTGTATTATTATATATAATAAAGGTAAACTTTTATAATGCATTTTTTATTTTATGTTTTTATGCACGTTGTAGCAGCCCCAATTGTTTTTCTTTTTCTTTCTATTGTTGTTTGCATAGGTTATATACCCAGGGACATCTAACATTTTGGGTCTAGAAATCACAATTCATTTTGTTTTTTACAGGATCAATACTTTTCCTTTAGACTTTTAGGTCTCGTGCACAATGGGCATAAAAAATGCTGCCTTAAGAGGCATTTAGCATTTTTTTTTCTGCTAAACGCCCCTCCATGTTGGCCTAGGTGTCCATGCACACATAGGTGTTTATAGGTGTATTTGAAGAGGAGAGTTTAGAGGCCAAAAAAAAAAACCAGCAACGCATTCAGGAGAAAAGCATTTAAGTAGAAAAAGGTCAGGCGCATTTAAACATGTGTAACAAGGCTAAACGCTAGGTGCTTTTAGCGCTTGAGCACTCATTAATTGCAATGGACAGAATAAACTATTATTCTGGCCAATGAAATTATTGAACACTATAATGCTTGATGCCTTAAATGCGCCTAAACACAATTACAAAATGAGGCTTTAGGTGTTTTTTTTTAAGCTGGTTTTCTCCTGCCAGGGGAAAAGGCATTCAGAAAAGCTGGCCAAACGCTCAGTGTGCATGAGGCCTTAAAATAATCAGGGACCAAACCTAACATTTAAGAAAAGAGGAATAAAAGAATTGGGGTTAGAGGTCACATGTCCGCCTGAGGCTCCGAACCACAGCAGGAGAAAACCTCATTGCTGCTGCTCCCGGCTCACCCCAGCCTCACTAACGCCTCCGCAACATAAGCAGCACCCTGGGAACCGGCCACAATGGTCCGGGGAGCCACAAAACACCAGCCACAGGTGTAGCCCATAAAGGAAGCCCTGGCTCGTGTGCCTCCTCCAAAATGGCGCCGGCTCCAGCTCCAAAAAGCAGGCACGCTCCCTCTCCCTCTCAGCTCTGCAGCCTGATCCAGACCACAGCATCATGGAGTGTGAGTCTAACGATGACACTGACCAGGAGACACCTAACGCTCCACCTACTGCTGACCCCACTAATCTTGTACCTCATGACCTTCTCAAACAATTTGAGAAAACGCTGCATAGAGCCCTAAAGCAGACCTCCGACCATATCACGGACAAATTATCTAAAAAAATCCGTGACCTAGGGGTCCGCGCATCTGGGCTAGAACATAAGGTGGACAACCTGGATGCAGCTGTTCACACATACTCAGATGAACTTGAGGCGTTGCGTGATGAAAACCTAACGTTCCACTCCCACCTTGAGTATTTTGAAAACAGGGCCCGCCACTCAAACATTCGCATCCGCAGACTTCCTGAAAACATCACTGACGTCCTCTCCATGACTACTGCGCTACTCCAAGAACTCTCTGATGCTATCCCGATTGAACGCCTAGAGCTGGATAGGGTGCACCGTGCCTTAGCCCCACCCAGACTGAACGGCCCTCCCCGCGACATCATTGTTAAATTCCACTATTTCTACACCAAGGAACAGATCCTTCAAGCGGCTCGAAACGCAGGCACCCTAACCTTCCAGGGACATACCTACAAATTATTTCAAGATCTATGCCCCGCCACCATTGCCAAACGCAGGGCCATGAAACCCCACCTGCAAATCCTTCAACAACACGGAATTACGTATCATTTGAACTTTCCATTTGCTGTTCGTTTCTCCCACCAATCCCGCAATTATATTTGTAGATCTACCGAGGAACTACTGGACACTCTCCATCACCTCCAGCTCCACCTTCCCCCAGACATCCCTGAGGGATCACGGAGAAGGTCTGCTTCCTGCTCGCCCCAGAAAGCCCACCACTCCGCTTCAGCAACAGGTCCATCCAATACCCACAAACGCAGGCATTATATTTCTCCGGCACCTGCCCCACAGGATTCCATGGACTGAACCCTGCTCCAGTCACCTTCATCCTTCTCCAGCCTCGCCTGGCTCATTGTTGGTTTCCGTGACTTGATCACATCAGCCTTCTTCACTATACTCCACCATGGACCCCCACCTCCTCCGTGTACACTGTCTGAGATCCCTACCTCTGGCCCTCCCCCTCCTGGGGGCCATCTCTACGACCACCTTCCTGCTGTTTGGCCCTCCAGGCCCTCTTTCTTTCTAGTACCTCTTTACTCCGTTGGTCTCCCGGTCCAACCCACCTCCCCCTGTTGGTGCCTACCCTTGAGCCTGAGCCTTTAATTTTGCATTTGTTGTTGCTAAGGTCATTTTGTCCTTCAACCTATAGTTACCCTTACCATGTTATGTATTATCTATTACCGTTGTTACCTCCCCTCTCAGGTCACTTGATATTGGAGGCTTTGCTTATTGTAGCCCCTTTTAGCCAGCTGACAGTCTTGAGCCTGATCACATTTGTTTTATCTTTTCATCCTTGCATCCTTTTTTCCGTCTGGTGTTTTTCTCCACTGGTTCGATCGCAATTGGTCTTCTTTTCCACTGGCGTGGTTGGATAGAATTGCAGTAGTGAAAATGTCCATCTTACCTAAGATCCTCTATCTTTTCAGGGTTCTCCCCATACCTGTCCCGGCTTATTATCCCTGAGTGCTCCAGCGCCGGGCCCACACATACATCTGGGGTCCTGTTCGTCCTAGAGTCCCCCGTACTACCATCCACATGCCAAAGTTAAAGGGAGGTCTGGGTCTCCCGGATTTAGCAAAATATTACCTAGCAGCCCACTTAGCGCAACTCCCAAAGTATCATGCATCTCATGAGATTCCGCAATTAGTGATTTTAGAGTCAGTTAATATTGACCCCCTCTCCTTAGCTAACGTACTTTGGCTTCATCCTTCTGACCGTCGTGCAATCCAGAACCCAGTCACCTCCCACTTTGTAGTGCTTTGGGATAGACTCAAATCCCGATACCCCCTTCAATCCCCCCACAACCCCCTTCTCTCTCACTTTCGCAACCCGGATTTCCCCCCTGCCTGGCTTTCTCCACGCTCTTTCGCACTTTGGTCCTCAGCTAACCTCCTTAGAGCCCATCGTTTCTTGACTAACTCCGGTGTCAAATCCTTCCCATCTCTTCGAGAATCCCACTCCCTTCCTGCTTCAGAAATCTTTCGTTACCTCCAACTAACACACTTTTATTCCCTCCTCTGCGCTACTTCATGCTCCATTAGGTCTATGACCTCCTTTGAAAGCGCCTGCACAGACGTTGCCTTATCTCTATCTTCTCTATCTTCTACGCCCTACTCTCGACATCTGAGTCCTCCCCTGGCCCCTCATAGGTCTCCAAGTGGGAGAGGGATCTAGGCCCCCAGCTGAACCCAGAGGATTGGGACCACATATGACAAGCAACTAAATCCTCCTCACAGAATGTAGTAGCGGTTGAGACGAATTACAAGGTCCTCTCCCGGTGGTACTTGGTTCCGGCTAGGGTTGCTAAATATACTCCGGGGTTTTCTCCAGACTGTTTTTGAGGCTGTGCGATGAGGGGCACATACCTTCACACTTGGTGGTCCTGCCCAGTAGCCCACACCTTCTGGGTTGGTATCTTCCACATGCTATCTACCCTTCTCAAAAAAAACGCTAGCGCCAACTCTGGACATCGCCTTACTCAATTTACGACCCCCCTCGATTCCTAAACTCTAGTTTAAGCTCCTCTTGCAGGTCACAACCTACGCTAAGCAAATTATAGCAAAATCCTGGAAAACCCCTTCTCTTAGCATATTGGCGGTTCGGAATAAGGTGACACAGGCTATGATACATGCCAAAGTGAAAGCTACCATCACAGACACAGTCCTCAAATTTTTGTCAATCTGGTCTCCCTGGGTCGATCACTTCCTCCCTCAAGGTTTTGATGAATCGCTGCTTCTTCCCTAATACCTTCCCCCTTGGAAGACACTCTGGAGCACTGGTCCGGCCCCGCACCCTCCTCCCTACCCTGGAAGTCACACACCTTACCTACCTCCTCCTCCCCTCCCCCCTTTCTTTTTTTTTCTCTCTCTCCTCTTTCTTCCTCCCCCCCTCTTTACACTGGTTGCTCTATTAAGTTTGCATTAATCATATTGTTGCTATAAGGCCTTGGGCCATATGTTCTCATCTGCCTTATACCCTTATAACCCAATAAAATGTTTGAACAAGAAAAGAATTGGGGTTCATAATAGAGACACTAGATGGCTTTATACTCACACAGTCGGGATATATTCCCCTGGAAAGGCATTAGTTGTGTAACTGATCAGCAGACATGTCTTACCAACAGCTCTGTTAAAGACAAAAAAAAAAGAAAACAATATTAGGTATATTTGTACCTTGGACCTCCAGTAAAGTTGGGCTTAGCATGTTTTTGAGGTTTAAAGGGAATCTTTATAAAGGAAAAATTTATATACACATATAAAAGTGATCACATGGATGCAAATTATCTTTTCAGTGTTGATTTACATATTAAACATCTTATTTTTATGTACAGTGTGTAAATATATATGAACACAAGTGCAGCCATATTTAGTTATTGTATACTCTATGTGGGCTCTGCTTCTTGCTTCTCAATTCTACACAAGGGTCTACTAGTCCATTGAAAACAATGCATGCAACGGATGTGGTTGATATCTTATCTCAACATTTTTTAAGCAAGGAGAAGGGCCTTAGTCAATACTAAATCCAGCAACAGACATTACAATTTTATGGTGGTTGAAGGAAAGAAAACCACTCAATTCCCCCATCAACACACACACACAACACATCAACAGTCAGTGTTGATGGGGAATCTTTCCTGTAGAGGCATTGTGTTCTCCCAGCAGGAGGGCGGGGGGAGCCAGGAGAACACTATATTAGAACACATATAGGAGAACACTATAATAGCCACTAGTAATAAACACATGTAAAACCCGGCAAGATGGTTGTACCCAAATTGATTGATCAACTTGGTACATTCAGCCTGCCCATACATGGTTTGAATCGTCTATGGCCAGCTTAAAGCTAGGTATGCAATAGGAAGAAGGGTCAGCCGCACACTGGAGGATAGATGAATATAGTGTGTATTTATTAATCCAAAGGACACACAAAACACCAGGATATGAATACAGGACCTGTTAACGCGTTTCACACGATCGTTATGATTAAGCATGATATCGTGTGAAACGCGTTAACAGGTCCTGTATTCATGTCCTGGTGTTTTGTGTGTCCTTTGGATTAATAAATACACACTATATTCATCTATCCTCCAGTGTGTGGCTGACCGTTCTTCCTATTGCATCGTGTGTGGTGGCGAGCCAGAGCCTGCACCTGTTGTGGATTGATCTGGATTGTTTGCCTGCATGGTATACCTTTGTTCTTTGGATTAAAGCTAGGTATACAATAGTAGAATTTCATTATAAGAATGTTGTTAGAAAGTTAATTCATTATTCTATTCTTTAGTGGGGTCAAATCGACATTCATTTTCAACCGCAATGCCAAGAAAATTTGAACTAGCATGGTGGAAAATGTTTATCAAATGTATGCATTCTTAAAGCTGGCCAAGCATGGTTCAGTTTATTTTTGCATTCAGCCAGCCATCCACCCAACCATTTGCATTACCAATGCACACAAGGGCTCATGGAACTTGTAGTCCTGCCTCTAGGCATTAGAGAGAACCTTTGTACACACTCCCCACTTAGAGGTAAATTAAAGCGACATTAACCTCCCTAGTGGTCTCATTATGTCAGTATTTCTATGCTCAAAGCAGTACTTTTTTTTACATGGAAATATGTTGTTTTGTTATTGTAGGCCTGTAATTCTTAGGAATAATACACTGAAATCTGTCTGAACAAGAGTCTAGTAAACAATAAAATTTGAAACACGAAATCATAAATTATAATATAATAAATAATCATAAATAATCATAAAAAATAATTATTTAATAATAATAAATTTCATTCAATAATGTAATCAAACCAAAAACACTGAAATTTGAAATAGAGCGCCAAGTTCGCACATCACTGAGCTTAGTTGCAAAATTGTTTTCAGTGTTTGATGACGAATTTCCCCACAAATCATTATCATTCAATTCTGCAAGTGGTTCTAACTTACTACCGCAGTTCTCTAGCTGGTCTAAAACCACTTTTGACATAAAGGGACGCTTTTTGGATGCCATGGACGTTTCTCAGTTTCTAGGCGGAAAGAACAGTAAAAATGCAGGCAGGGCACTGGACAAAAAACTAGGGACAAAATGTATGTTAAATGCTTTGATACAGTAATGTAATATTATCAGATTTTAGTGTATTGAGTGAATGTCAAATTTTTACATTTTTGAATTTCCTGCCAGTTCTGTCCCCAGTTTGTCCCGACGCTCACAGGGAACAGAACCCGGAAGACGGATGCCGACATCGGCTGGAGGACATGGTAAGTGCTGAAGGGATCCCAGAGCAACGCTGCAGTGTAATCCCGAGTGTAGCTCGGGGTTACCGCTTCTGGTACTGAAAGTTAACCCCGAGCTACACTCGGGAATACTGCCAGGGGGTTAAACTATATTCTTCTTCAAAATAATTCATACACATCCACTACTTAGTGGCCCTGTAATCTATTTTTCTTGAAATTGTTTCTCAGAGTTCATTGGCCATAGTCCCTGGTCCATCTTGGAAGTAGGTAAGAGAGGGTGGCTACATTCCTACATACAGAGAGACCATTGGGCATAACGCAGCAAAAAAGGGACTGAAAGCAATGGAACGTTCTTGAAGTGAAGCATACATACATGAGTACATTTTTTAACCAGAGTTTAGCGACACTTTAAGTATAATAACCAAAAATAAGGAAGAACAAGCATGTAAAAAAAAAAAAATTAGTACAAAAAAATGAGTCTGTATTAAAGGGAGTGATGTCACCATTCTTTTGACTGAACCCTGAGCACCCCAATATTCCCAACATTGAGATATGGGATACTAAGCATTTTCTAGGATTTTGCCAGAAGAATGATACTGATATCATTCTTACAGTGTAACTAAAAGCAATTTTTTCTAACAGTTTATTCACAACTGATAACAGTGATGAATCATTGATATATTTACAGCTCATAACGGCAATGAGTCATTTATATGATATTTACAGGAGTAAATTAACAAGGAGTAGGAATATTAGAAATGAGGGCAAAGGGCAATATAGAAATAAAACATTATTATTGTTATTAGTATTACCATTATTATGACTATTATTATTAATATTATCCACAATTGGCCTTATTTTCAATTTGTAACTTTTGTTTAAAAATTTCTGTTTCAATAGTTTTTATTAATGTTTTTTGAAAAGTAGTTGTACAGCCATCAAAGAAATGGTATATTTCACAAAGGCTTACATATGAATCACAGTGCACAGGGTATTTGTGAGTTTACATCAAAGATGAACATTAACCACTTGCCCTCCAGAGGATTTACCGCCCTTTCTGACTAGACCATTTTTGTAACTTTTTGCTATAAAACATATCCAGTAAAAAATAGTCTTTACTAAAAAAAAAAATCCCAATACATGCAAGTTAATTGGTTTATGTGAAAGTTTTAGCACCCACAAATGGCGGCCCGAAAATGCCCTCTTCCCGAAGATGAACATCCAGCTCAAAGATCACCCTTTTGACATAATTGCGGAGATGCAGCGATTTTGCCCAGTTTCACGCAGAATTTCACATTTGCTTTTCGTTCTAAATTGCAGTCCATGATTAAATAGCAGATGTGGTAATGCACGTGGTCAGAATAGCACCAGTTGTACAGCTCCCGATGTACACAGGACAATGTCTTTTGGCATACTGACTTATGAAGGTTGCTGCTCCTTGACTGTGCATGCAGCCTTGTGCTGCCATCTGTTGGCGTGTTACAAAACTAGTTTTTAAACTTTTTGATACCACCTCGTAAATAAGACAACATGCTACTGTAGGATATGTTTTTACTAAAATGTTTTCATGTCACAAGTCAAATCTACAAAAGAAATTATTATTATTATACAAGATGTATATAGCACAAACAGTTTGTGCAATGCTTTACAACATGATGGCAGACAGTACAGTTACAGTACAATTCAATACAGAAGGCCCTGCTCATTAGAACTTGCAATCTAAAAGGAAGGGTCAAATGATACAAAAGGTAATAACTGTGGGGGATGAGCTAAAGGAGAAAATAAAAGTACAGTTGTAAGGTGGGGGCAGGACAGGCTTCTCTTAAGAGAAGGATTTTTAGGGATCGTCAAAAAAGTGGACAGAGTATGAGGTCTGACAGATTAAGGTAGGGAGTTCCATAGGATGGGAGAGGCTTGGGAGAACTCCAGGAATTGAGCATGGGTGGAGTTGACAAGGGAGCTAGAGAGCAGGAGGTCTTGGGAGGAATCGGAAGAATGATTTGGTTTGTATTTTGAGAGTAGGTTATTGATGTACAGTAGCTGGGGGGCGAATTGTGGATGGGTTGTTAGTATTTTAAATTTAATGCATTGGGTGTGATATAAATGTGACTAGTGCAGCTTGATGTCTGAATACAACCCTGGATGTGTGTTGTTCTTATTTTATTTCAGCACCTTATTGAGAATAAAAAATTACATTCGTTTTTGCCACAAAAAAGTATACAGTGTAGTGTCTCTAGGTTACAGTAACGTAGACATACAGTAAACTATGGGCAACACCAACATGCTTATGGATTGTAAAGAAAATTGGGATACCTAGAGCAGCCTTTCTAAGGCTTGGTTCACACCTATGCATTTTTTAGTGCTTTTTGCAGAAAAGCACTACAGTCCATTTAACATGGTTTCCTACGGAACATGCTCACGTCTGTGCTTTTTTCAGCTGCTGCATTTTTTGAAAGGGTCAGGGACTTTTTAAAATGCAAAATGGTGCATTTTTTTGGTTGGACTTCAAAGAAGATGGTGCAGAAAAGCATGCAGTGCATTTTTTCTGCGTTTTTGATACAATTTGGGTTTTTTAATCTTCCCAAATTGGCCAAAAAAAGCATAACAAAAGCATGAAAATTGTGTCAAAAACACATGTACAAAAATACAAAATGCACTGCAGAAACAGCTCAAAAGCAAACTGCAGAGATGTGAACCAAGCCTTAACCAGGTTTCTATAAAATTCCAGGGTTCCTCCAGACCTTCCTAGTGGATAATTAGCTATGGGCACCAATTATGCTACTGTATGTTTGCCACATCATTTATTCTTTTATTATTAATCCTACCACTTACTGATCATTCAAACATACCATGTGCTATATGTATAATAATTTTTGCTAGAGTTCCCTGAGAAATAGTTTCAAGGAGAAACCTCCATGATAAAAATCTTGGCAGACACAAACACATGGTGAATGGGATCAAACCCAGAGCCACATTACAGAAAGACACGAGCTCTAATATTTAGCCACTATGCTGCTGCACAAAGTTGGCATTAAACTGAATGTGTGATAAAAGATGGCAGTTGGTCTCACATGGAAGTTCTAACAAACAAAGAACACGTGGATGAGATATAAAGATATGACATTTCCTCTATTTTAGATAAGATAGTTGTGAAATGAATGGTTATTTACAAGCTTTAAAGGGGAAGCATGGTGTATTTCAGTTCTTGCTTGGAATTAATTAATAATACAGAGTTAAGCAAACATGTTTTTATACTGTACTTTATTCTACCATTATTATAATTTTTGCTAGAGTTCCCTGAGAAATAGTTTCAAGGAGAAGAAGATGTGAGCCACCTCAGACCAGACCAGAAGAAGATGTGAGCCACCTCTTCTAGTGAGTCTGGAAACTGAAGGGTGAATGCAAGTTCATTATGCATGTGGGCAGGACCTACTCACCCTGTAGATGGGGAACACTTCATGCACATGGTTACTAGTGCCCGGGACCAGGTGGGGCTGTGGTAATGCAAAGATCAGCATTAATGCGGCACCCCATACTTAAAAGTGAGCCGTTCACCTTACACAGTTACACATTAAACTTGAAGCTCCTTGTTGTAAGACACTCTTCTCCTGTGACAGTGTACCCCTTAAAACCAAATGCAGCATTTTGAGGGGGACACCACAGAGCATGTATCCTGCTCTACCAGCCCAGCTATCCTACCACCTCACGACCAGTGGGCAGTTTGAGATCCCGCCATGCACTGAGCATGGATCTCTACACGTGTACAAGTTAACTCTTTGACTGTCCCATGCCTGCAGCTAGGTCCATAGGGTCTCCATGCCACAGACTCAGTTCCAATTGTTGTGGGGCACCGACTGCTAGGAAGAGAGTCAGAGCACCGACCCCCTCACTATTCAGAGGTCCTGTCATCTATGCCCAGTACCATTCTCCCGCTGGTTGGCTGCTATAGCATTCCCACCAGTCTTGGTTACCCATAGCAACCATTTGTTAGACACGACTTCTCATCAACTTCCCCGTATAGTTAACCCTTATTTGGTGGCCCTCTTCATCTCCAGGTGTGTTTTACAGGTCCTGTTCTTTTGATATGCTGTAATATCTTATTGCACCCCTTTAGAAGAACTTCAGACCAGGCACTTTACAGTTAACTTGGAACCTTTACTAAGCATTCAGTTGATATAACACAGTCCCTATACAATTGATTCTTTCTCTCTCTCTATCTCTCTCTCTCTATTCCCACTCAGGCCGCCATCTCATTCCTCAAATAGAGCAAAGTCCATAAGTTCTTTAGTTCTCTTCAGTACTCCAACCTGGATACTCTTTCAAGGGGGAGATGGACACCACTCAGTAGAGCTCACATCTTACAGCACCTCTCCTAAATGTGGAAGAGTTTCTCTCAGCAGGTTACTTCCTCTTGTATTTATGGGCCCGGGTAAAGGGGCAGGACCATGAACAAAATGAGCAACCTTAACCCCTTCCTTTGAGCAGCCTGTTAATGGACTACACATTGCATACAACAATCCCCATGGCATGAATAGATTTAACACGGGTAACTCAAAGGCATAAAAACTTCGTTTTATGCCCAAACCCCTGTAATCAACTGCTTACATGCAGATAGCATGTGTCATCCAGAAGGGTTGAAGCTTCAGCATCCCCACTCAGAGAACCCCTGAGTGCTGCATGTGAGCTTGACCACACTGAGTTGTATGGCCCTGGAGATTCCTGGTGATGGTAGCTAGCAAAGTTCTTTAGGTCTGTAGCCTAAAGAGAAAGTGTAGTCACTGTGATAATTGTGCGCACAGATATGGACAATGACAACCATAATTTGGATCATGCGCTGCAAATGTCATTCTTACTCCAAATCAGTGCCCCTCCCTTTTTTTTGACTGGCATGTGGTGTGTGTATGCTGGGGTCACAAGGGCATCGGGCACAGCTGGATACACTTCATGGTTGTAAACCCAATTAGCTGGTTCCATGATGTCTGTCAGAAGCTTGCCTTGGCCTGGTCGTAAAGCTATAAATCTGTCAGTCACTGTACATGAAAGTATTCCAGAGTGGCAGTAAAACATACATCCCACTTGAAACCACTTTTTCATACAATTTCATAAATCCCGGCAGGAACAAGGTACATTAAAACAAAGCATATATTCAGATAGGTCAGTTTAAATGTGAGTCACCTGATACCTTACACCCCTAGATAACATCTACCAGAGAGTAGAAAGGGATATTTTGTTATCCGTCACAGCCGGATATATCATATTTGGTGTCTGGAAGTTCAAAGTATCATTTTGCATATTAACCTGCCAGTGGCTAGGATGCTGCATGCACCTATGGAAGGTTATTGACCATGGTATAAACTTGGGAGGGATTTGGGTCACAGCCTGGGTCTCCGCCTAACCCCCCCATCCCCAAATTAGACGATTGGCCCTTTGCTTTAGTAGACACCCCCTGCTGGGACACTAGAAAAGCTGTCATGCCTGGAGAGAGAGGGATGAAGAGATTCTCCCTTTTAACATCAGGAACCAACATTCGGGAGAAAGGTACCCTTTTGTTCAGGACACTTGAACTCTGCTAAAACCAAGACTTCTGCAAGTATTCTACCTTCTTAACCACCTACTGCCCGCCATATAGTAATATGATGTGCGCAAGGTGGCTCTCTTGTTCTGGGAGGACGTCATATGACGTCCTCCCATTCTCACTGCACATGCGCGGCTCAGGAAGCGCGCAGCGCGGCGATCGACGGCGTGCTGTGTGCCTCGGACACAGCGGATCACCAATCGCGGAAAGAGCCGAAGATGGCGGCTCGGTCATGTGATCAGCTGTGTCCAATCACAGCTGATCACATGTAAACAGGGAACTGCCGGTTATCGGCATTTCTCTCCTCTTGAGCTGTCACGCTGACAGCTCAGGAGGAGAGGAGAGCCGATGATCGGCTTTCCACGGAGGGGACATGTACACTGATCATCAGGGCACTGATGATCAGTGTGCCCTGATGATCAGTGTGGCTCCAGAAGTGCGACCTGTCAGTGTCCATCAGTGCCAGCAGTCAGTGCTCATCAGTGCCTCGTGCCAGTGCCCATCAGTGCCTACCAGTGAACATCAATGCCACATATCAGTGCCCATCTGAGCTGCCTTTCAGTGTCACCCATCAGTGCCAGTCAGTGCCACCTATCAATGCCAATCAGTGCCACCTATCAGTGCTGCCAATCAGTGCCACCTATCAGTGCCAGTCAGTGCCACCTATCAGTGCCAGTCAGTGCTGCCTATCAGTGCACATCAGTGCCGCCTATCAGTGCCAGTCAGTGCTGCCTAACAGTGCCAGTCAGTGCCGCCTAACAGTGCCAGTCAGTGCCACCTAACGGTGCCAGTCAGTGCCGCCTATCAGTGCCATGTATCAGTGCTGACTTTCAGTGCCCATCAGTGATGCCTGTCAATGCCTATCAGTGCCCATCTGTGCCACTTATCAGTGTCCATCAGTGCAGCCTATCAGTGCCCATCACTGCAGCCTCATTAGCGCACATCAGTGAAGGAGAAAAATCACTTATTTACAAAATATTATAACAAAAACTAAGAAAAAACATTTTTTTTTTCAAAATTTTTAGTGGTTTTGGGTTTGTTTAAGAAAAAATAAAAAACCCAGAGGTGATTAAATACCACCACAATAAAGCTCTATCTGTCACAAAAAAATTATAAAAATTTCATATAGGTACAGTGTTGCATGACTGCGCAATTGTCATTCAAAGTGCAACAGCGCTGAAAGCTGGAAATTGGGCTGGGCAGGAAGGGGGTATAAGTGCCCAGTAGGCAAGTGGTTAAACTTCTTTCTTTTATCTCTCTGTTGTGTTATTGCTCTCTCTCTCTCTATATATATATATTGGTTACATCTTTTTTGTAAATATTTTTATTGTAACATTTTGACCTTTTTAGTAATAAATCCTATCCTGAAAAGTGTTGAATTGTTTCTTAAACTCTTTAATGCCAAATAAGAATCCCTGTCTCTGAAGAGTGCTACTGTGTGTTTTAAAACCTCTGGATACATCTGTCTGCGGTGACAGTATGTATACAGACGCTTATTCAAACATCATAGTGTTACTGCTAAGATTTGTGAGTTTCCTCCTTCTCTGTAAAAAGGTGGTGGTGGCAGTGTGAAGGGTTAATTGCGTAATTAACCTGACCCAGTAACAATCGCTCTCAGGCTGTTGGCACCTAGATTGGGGTCCAGTGAGCTGGAAAATCTTTGTGCATGGTGCAGCTGAGAGCGGCATTGTTTCGCAAGTGGCAGGGCGGTTTTAGATTTGCTAGTGCTTCGATCACAAGTTGGTGAGAAGGCTGGGGTTCTGACACCATGCCCGTCACAGTCACCACCACTTTTGTGGTTGAAAAAAGGTGCTGGAAGAGATCAGCAGCACTGAAATAAAAAAAAAAAAAAGGATGAAAAAAAGGTGAAAATAGTATTTTATTTAAAAAATGGTAGTTGTTAAAAGAATACACAATTCTTAATCAAACAACGTCATTTAAATATGATTGAGATTTACTTTAACCTCTTGCTGCCCACGTAATGCATATATGTGGCAAAAAAGAGGGTGGTCTTTAATGCCCATACACCATTCATATGTGCTATGGGCAGCAGTGGTTTCTGTGCTGAAAGTACACTTGCAGCGTGCTCCCAGAGAATGAACTATCAAAACGGCTCTTTGTCCATACTAATGATTGTGAAACAGCAGGACTGGCTCCAATTCAGGAGTCCACTGTGACAGCCAATCACAGTGGTCACATAATTAGGCAGACCTTCCTGCTCCTCAGGCTTAATAACCCTAAGGTGAGCTGGAAGGTTTTAAAGTGGACCTTCAACCCAAAAAACAAGTTATTTTCACCTGTGCCTGTGGTGCCTCAAAAGCGTATGTTCGCTGCCAGAGTCTGTGCATGTGCAGATGCGCTGAAGGGCTCTGCCAGACCTATACGACCCAGCGGGGACTTTCTGTACACCTTCCCATGCGTGAAAGTTCCTGGATCTCAGATTGCCTACACATGCATGAAGAAACTCAGTGCATGTGCAGATCTGCCACAGGTCTCTGCCAAGTCCTGAAGGCAGAATCCGTTGGCACATTTGCGCATGGATCTTCAAAGATGGTGGTGCCAGTGAGGGAGTTGGGGCCTGCATTACAGTGAAGTTCATTGAATTCTTACAAAAGAATGGGAGGCTTTCTATAATCTTATTGTCAAGAAGTATTACTGAAAAACTAGTGCAAACCTTAAAATAGCGTCCAAATGCAATTTCATGCAAATTTATCACTAAGTGTTGTCATTATAGCTGCTCTCTCTATTTTATCCCATCACTTTTATGCAGGTATATAAAGCACATTCCACAAAGACAATCTGTCACAGCATAATTTATTTTATCTCCGCTTTTATGATCACTATAATTAGGTGTACATTGTCTTCATTCTGTGCCAAATTGTGACCAGACAGACACAACATGGTAATGGCATCAGTGTCAAAACTGATGCAAACAGTATAAACAATACAAAAATCCACCTACATATATGTAATTTGCATAAAAACGAAGCTTTTGCATTATTTACATTATGTTCATACTGCAAAGCTGAGGTGTGTGAAATATGTCTTTTTACTAATGGTGGTAGAATGGAAGATAGGCAGACTTCTCTAATAAAACATCATTAGCTTGTAGTAATTGAAGTGATGGTCTGCTAGTCATTCACAGAACATTGATTGCTTTCATAATCACTGCCATCATTACAATGCACAAGCCAAAATTATACATATCTAAAATGCAAAACCTGCTAGTGCTTTTAAATGTTCTATATTTGTAAGGAATCCCCTACCTACTGACACAGGTAGTATATTTCCTGCTCATTGATGGCACAATGTTATGACGTTGCTGCTGCCCCATATCAATTATGCCTTCAGATTCCATATAGCTTTAAGGAATATTCTGAGAGATGCTTGGGAACACTTGCTGTATGCATGGGGAAACCACATGCTGATGACATATTAAAATTTCTGTTGTCAAAGTATTAGCATGTTGGTATTACTTTCTGCATTAGTGCCCCTCATGGCAAGAGGCAAAAATTACTTCACGGGGTCCCATACCTGAAGGATAAAGTCTTTTTCAGTTGTCAGTGACATCTGTCCCAAAACTGATTACAGAGACATTTTGAGAGATACCGTGTTGAGTGCAGATTATCTTCACCAGCTCATTTACACAAGTTACACAATCACTTTACTTGTTCAGCCACAAAGGGAAGCTGCTGTATACTTTTGGAGACATTGCTCACCTGTGGTCCAGGTCTAGTCCTTAGGAGAGTTCTCTTATGCAGCGGGCCCTAACCTAGGGACCTTGCTGCTTAGAAGAGCAGATCATACAGGCACCAATCTATCCCTCCGATAGAACCTAGGTCACCAACCGCCACCACCATCTCCTTTCCTGAGCTGGCTGCTCCTTCTTCCCTTTTCTTCTTACTCTTCATCACCCAGATGGTTAACATGAAGGTTTACATTTAGTTCCCATTCACTGTATGAGTGTACTCTAATTCTCTATTCCTAAAGTAGTTCAGACAAGACAATTCACTTAACCAGCAATTTCTTTTACTGTAGGATTAGTTGTCATATATTCCTAGTAAATTTAATAAAGTTGCACAGTAAAGTACAAGCTCCAACTTACAGTGCAATTCCAATTTCCTTCTCATTCAGTGTTATATTTGGGCTGTGCTGCAGTACTCATACCTTTAGGTTGTGTTAGTTTTCAATCAGTAGTAGTTTGGATTCAACTTAGTCCCATCTCAGGGTCCCCTCGCTCTTGGTGCAACTCTTCATCTCCACATGTATGGCCATAGAATATGCTGATATGTTTTGTTTGCAGGTTGAAATTTGGAACATAAAATGTGCTTACTGACAATTTTTGAAACTCAGTCCTCATGCACACTTGACGTTTTGATAACGCTGGTAACGTTAGCTGTGTAAAATCACGTTAAAAACGTGAGTTTTCAGCTTTATTAGCATTTCTGCATTAGCGTTTAGCAGCGTTTTTCTGTGTTTAGCCGTGTTTTTACGCATTTGCGTTTTTCAGCATTTTTTTAACCAAAAAAATAAATTTTTTTGGTCAAAAAAACATCTAAAAACACCAGTGTTTTACCACGTTTTGACACGTTTTTCAGCATTAGAGCAGTTTTACAGCTAAAAAACTCCTCTAGAAACCCACTAGTCCTGAGTTTTTTTTTCAGCCAAAAAACATTCATTACAGTCTATGGACACATAGGGTAACATGTTGGGTAGTTTACTAGCTGGAGAAAAAAAATGTCAAAAGCCAAAAACAGCCGATGTAAAAACTTCAAGTGTGCATGAGGACGTAAGGGAAATTCAAGCACAGATAATGGATGCCAAGAAGAAAATGAGAGGCATTCAGCAGGTAGGTTGCCAGACAGAACATTTTTGAGTTTAGCCAGAATTTACTTTTAAATTATCATTAAATATGCTGCAATCTTATTCAGGGAACTAGATAACCTAATTTGAAAATCTTTCTACGTCTCAATCTCTTAAGTGGTTATCAGGATTAACTCTGAAACATTTTGGTTTTCTAATAATCAACTAATAACATTTTTTAGTGTTGGACAAAGTAGGGAAGTGCTGGAAATTCTGTCTTGATCTGTAGGTGTTTGTGTCCCTTTCAGTCTTGTCAGTGACTAACAGAGATATCCTATTGGATAGTCTTAATTCACTAAGCTGTAATTTGCCTTAACATCTGTTATTTTCAGCAGTGAGAGAAAATGAAAGCTGAAAATAACAATTAAGTGGCTGAAAATAGCTATAGCTATGGCAAATAACACTTCATAGCTTAATGAACTGAAGCATGTGCTTTCCTAGGTTGAAACCATATATACTGTATGTCTAAGCAGGTGTCCCTTGTGATACTCTCACTGTAAAATGATAAGCTTCTTGAGATTTTTCATATCTGTCTTCAATTAAGACCTAGGCTCCTGTCTGGTTAAAACACATACTGTAAATGCTTACTGTATACATAACACACAGTAAAACAAAATAGCAAAAAAAACCCCACAACAACAAAAAAGTTTTGTACTTACTGAACGATCTTTTTAAGGGAAACAGGTTCAGACATTGGGGTATATTGCTGGTTACAGGAGGATTCGGACACTGGCAAGCAAAAACCTGTTGGCCAGCCAGGTTTAATCCCTCCGAATTCTAGCATGCTTCAATTTTG